AAAAATAAAATTTAATCTTTTTTAGAATTATATTTTCAAAATAAAAAATTTAATTTAATTGATAGGGCTTAATTTTATTTTAGATAATTTTTTTGTTAGGATTTTATTTCTTTTAGTTCATTAAAATAATCAAAAAAATATAAAAATATAAAAATAAAATTTAACCCTTTTTAGGATTAAATTTTAACAAAATCAAAAAAATCTTATTTAAGTCTTTTAAAATCTCTCCCAAATCATTTCAACCATTCAAAAAATATTGAGAATCAATTTTTGAGGATTAAATATTTTTAAATTTCTCTCTTTAAATCTAATATTTTTATTTAAAATATATATATTTTTTAAAATTAGATTTTTTCCCCTCTCCCTTACTTTTTGATTGACAAAAAAAGGAGCATTAAAATCAAAAAAATAGAAATGGGGCACTCAGCTCGAGATTGCTTTCGGCTAACAGAGAAAACGCATGCACCCCATTCTTTTCTTCTCCTCCTTCTAAAACTCAAATGTTCAAAGAGTCAAGGAGATCAAACTTCTCTCTCCTCATTTTTTCGGCATTCATCCCGGTTACTGTCAACGACGTGGGCAGTGTTGGAGCTTCTTCCATCCTTTTAGGAATCCAGCTCGTGAGTGCTTCCTCTCCCTATTTCACGTCATAGACTGCTCAATATCGTTAACGTCTAGCTTGTTCATCCGATGCCATCACCGCTAAAGTCACCATTCGTTGCCATTGCCAATAGTTTTGAAGGGAGAGAAACAAAAATGCAAAAAAAAAACAAGAAGAAGAAGAGGGACAGAGGAGAGTTGAAAACCCAGACCCACGAGTGAAAAAAAACAAAAAATAAAGGGGAGAGTGAAGACGCATGCACGTTGCAGAAAAAGCAAAGGAAGCAAAGCAAAAATGCATGCAAGTAGCAAAAGAAAAGAAAAGAAACAGAGCCAGAGATGCATGAGCAAAAAAGAGAGCAGAGAGCAAACGCAAGCACAGCAAATGCAGAATAAAAAGAAATAGAGCCAGACATGCACGAAGACAACAGACGGAACAATAGAGAAAGTAGACGAAATAGCAGAGAAAAAGTGAGAAAAACATAGTAGAAAGGCGACACACTTGAAGAGCTACACGCAAGCTCTGAAAAAAAAAAATTCTTCTTTAAAAGGAAAACTAAGAACACAGAAGAAGGGCGGATCCACAAAACCGAGAAAAACAGAACTGAGAGGAAAACTGAGAGGAAAACTGAGGCACAGAGAAAGAGAAGAAAAAAGCTGGAGAAAGGACTAGAAGGAGAAAGAATAGTGACCGAATGTAGGAGATGGGAGAAGCTTGAACAGAGGCGAAGAAGAGAAGAGAGCGGGGACGAGAAAATGAAAAACAGAGCATGAAAAAGGAGCAGAAAAAAGGGAAGAAAAAGGAGAAGAAAAAACCAGAGAAAAGAAGACGAAGAAAGCCGGACGAGAAACAAGGGAGAAAACTGAGAAGGAGACCGAGAGAACACGAAGAAAGCTGGATGAGAAAAATGAAAAAAAAAAAAAAGAGCTCTACCTCTGGCCTCTCTCCAAGCCCCAATCCTCTTCCACATTCGCGTCGGCCTCCTCTATTCCTCCACTGTCCTCTCCAAAGTCCAAATGGATCAGCACGTATTCGGCATATGAGGACTGCCTGGAGCTCCTTGAGGATTTCGTCGATGTGCTCCTTCTCTCCCTCATTTCAGTCATGCCATCCCCACTCAAAGGCTCCAATGGGTCTACCAATGATGTGTTGACATGTCTTAGTGTCGCCTTCTAGGATCAAGACAGAGGTAGTGAAGGTTATGCGGGGAGATAACGGTTGAAAGCTAAAGACTTGCTTGAATAATATTGTTCTCTTTTCTCCTTTGCTTTCTAACATCGTATGAAGGGTATAAGTTTGCATGAGTTCTTGACTAGTCATTTATAAAATATTTTGTATAATTTTATATCTCTTAATAGTTTAAAGATATAGTTCTATTCAAGTTTTGAGATTCTTGATACTTGAAAATTAATCACCAAGTTTATCTACTAATTTTAAAAATTTGACAAGTTCTTTATCTTGTGATGTTAGTGTTGCAAAATAGATTTGTGATGGTTTGTATTATAAGATATCCAAAGGGTCTAATTTAGGTACATTTAGTTTTGCATGTTTGATTCTCAAATTGCCTTTCAATCTTTTAATTATTATATTTTAAAAAAATATAACGTGTGATGGCATGGATTAATCCTTATATTAATCTTTGTTCATTAGTGGAAATTTATTCACGCGTAATACTTCATGGTGTTTTCTATTTCCATATGTTGTCATGATTTCCTTATAAGAGGCTAAAGTATAAAAAGAAAAAGAGAGAGAGAGGGATATATATATATATATATATATTTATGGTTTATTTGCTGTGTGAGATTTTAAGAATCTCCATAGACATTTAGAAGATTTCGTACCGTGTAAATTAATAAGACTTAGCAGGTATGAAGATCAATCTTGTATGTATTTATATGAGTTTCAAAGGCCCATTATTGAAATTAATTATCTCTTTATAATAAATATTTAAGTCTTATGTGAAATTTCAAAAATTTTCGTAGAGACTTAAATTAATCACCTCATCGTGTAGAATAATAAATCCTTACAGATATTCACAATTTATATGGTAAATAAATAAATAAATTTTTGTAAATAAAATAATAAAATTTTTTATAATATTAATTAATTAAGTTAATAATTATGTTGTCTAATTAGATCTTTTAGTCATGTAAGATTTTAAAAACTCCGTAGACCTTTAAGATAATTGTATTACCATGTGAGTCAATAAGGCTTCGCAGGTATAACGATTAAGATTTTTATATTAAAAAATATGTGTTATATAATTACACATTAAATATATTCAAAGTGAATATTATTTAATCTTTTTTATCATGTGAGACTTCGAATCTCCACAGGTATTGAGGATAATCTCGTATCGTGTGAATCAATAAGATTTTGCAAATATGAGAGCAAAACTTATTTATTAAAATTAACTCTCCTTTTATAATCCAAATTAATAATTTATTTAAGTCTCATGCGAGATTTCAAGAATCTTTATGGAAATTTAAATTAATCACATTATCGTGTGAGATAATAAGTCCTCGCAGATATAGTAATTCTCAATCTCTATAGTGAATAAGTGATTTTTATAAATAATCATATAATACACAATTTAAGAAAATTAATTAATGAAATTAATGTAGTTAAATGGTGACCACATTTACTGATTATATCTCTTAGTCATGTGAGATTTTTGAATCTCCGTAGGCTTCTAAGATCATCGTATTATCGTATGAGTCAATAAGACTCTGCAAATATGACGATTAAGTTTTTAAAATATATATATATATATATATATTATAGTTAATTAAATTAAATCAATTAAATAAATTTAATTCCTTTATCGTGTGAGATTTTGGAATCTCTACAGATATTTAGGATAATCATAATACTGTATAAGTCAATAAAGCTTTGCAGGTATGATGATTACGTTAAAAATTATTATTAATACTTAAAAAATATACATAAGAATATATATAAATAAATTAAATTACTAAATTCTTTTATCGTGTGAGATTTCGGAATCTATTTAGAACAACTGCATTACCGTATGAGCCAATAAGGCTCTGCAGATATAGCAGTTAAAATTTACTTTCATAAAACATAAAGAAAAATAATTTTAAACTCTTTTCTTTCTTTATTCCAAAAATTCAAAAATTGAGGAAATAATTAAAATTAAATTACTTTTTGCAATTTAAAACACACATACCAAAATTTTATAAATTGTTTTATTTGCAAAATGGTGAATTACTTCTAATTAATTTCTCTTCAAAAAAAATATATTTTCACCAACAACTTTTAAGCCGTGGACTTTGATTCCCATCACAGGATTTGTAGGTCTCAAAGTTAGATTTTGAGTCAAGTCCATCCTCTCTCGTAAATAAATAAATATTTCTCCTTGATTCTTATCATTTTTATATCAAACACATGAATATAAAAGAGATAATTAAAATAATTTGAAAACCATATTAATAGAGCACAACAAACTTCAGATAACTGTTCTAATGAACGGGTGTTGTGGAGTGCCTAACACCTTCCCCATACTCAATTGGCTCCTGAACCTATTCTCTGATTTTGCAGACCACCCTTATCCTCCGTTTAATCAGTTTCCCAAGATTTCCCTCAAAATCTCGATGGCAACTTCTCATTCGATCCGGTTCTCGCCACAAAGGCCGAGACCTCCGCTTATACGTCGTCTGTGTCGCATTTTTCGGGTGCGACAATCAACAAAAAATTTAAATTTAAATATGTTGCATACATTACTAATTCTATTGATGAGATGATAAACTTATTGTAAGCTGGACATTATAAGGAACAAAAGACCATTAGCATGTCAACACTAATTGTTGTGTCTTATATCCATTGTATGTTTAAATATTTTGATTTAATATCCTTTTTTTTTTTTGGTTCCTTACATATATTTATTTTTTATATAACTCAGCATAATTTTAACAAAGCAACATAAGAAATAACAATGTTTATTTGTATACACATAAGCTACTATTAAATCCTTATAATCATATTTAAAAATATTTTAACATTCCATACATATGTTACTTAAGTAACTTGGAATATTGGGAGAAAAAAGTATAGAAGGTAATACCAAAACATTCTAAATATATAAGAACTAGCAATTACATTTTCCCTTAAAATTAATACAAAATATCTTTCACAATTTCTGCTTTCATCACACACATTCCCCTCTCCACTCCTTTCTCCCATATAGTAAGATGCTGGATGAAAACTTGATTCAATTCTCAGGCACAAGCAAGCTAGTTGTGTGCATCATTGGGATGAACATTAAAATGCAATGCTATATTGGCAGTTAGTGATGACAAGAGTGACATTCACCGTAGCCACTTCATTCTACAAATTTCAAGCCAGAAAATTCTCATTGCTTACGGCTGAGAATCTGAGATACCAAAAAGTGAAAGGCTCATAATTTATAACAAAGTAGCCTTGTCTGAGTTTGAACACGTCTAACAGCTCTAATCATTCTACCTGTTACAATACTTGGAGCGGAAGAACAAGCAAGACCTATACCAGATACTCCAATATGTCTATTAAATCAGCAAAATCTTTGAAATGAAATGGTGCCAAGACAAGATAAAAATTTCTCCACAAGTGTGACATGATTTAATTCATTTTGTCGATTAGTTCATTGATGAGATCTTCCCGGTTCCCAGTGTCTCCACCATCCTTGTACAAAGTTTTTGATCCTCGCAAACCATCAGCTGGTTTGCTGAGTTCAAAGGGCCACAAAAAACTGGCAACTTCTTCAAAGTGTGGACCAACATTAACAATTTCATGGACCATATCTTCCATGCACACAATTCCATACTTTCCTAATGCCTGTGGGATGAATTCAAGAGAAGTTAGTGATTAAAAAAGAGGGGGCCGTTAGAGGCGAACTGGCCAAGGTATCGTCAAGTTGTACTTTACCTGTTCAATAATGTTATTGTCCGTCAGAGGAACTTTCTGATTGTCTAATTTTGCAAATCCCTTCTTGTAGATCAGTTCCTTTATGCTTTTAATATTAGGATACCTTCAAAAGAAGCAAAATATTCACAAAATTATGAGAAGGGGGTGGAGGAACACTTTACAAGGGATATTGTTTTTAGTCACGTTGAGAGGAGAATTTTGTTCTGGAAACAAGGAACATGAAGATACAACCAATTAGCAAAATATCAAGATGTTAAAATAAGTTCCAAACACCTACTGTAAATCTGAAAGTCAATAAATTGAAAATAAAAAGTTCATAACAATTCAGTCCAAGAATGGAAAACAATAAGCAGTTTAAACTTCCCAAAAGGAATTTTTTAATGGTGTGTTTAGATTAATGGGGATTTGAATTTGGATTTATATCCTCTCATTGGGATAAAATTCTAAGAATCCAAATCCATCTATTATTACATTTCCTTTATAATTTCAAAATCCATATATACCCTAGTCCATTTGAAATTTCAATTACTTCAAACACCTCATTCTTTTCACGCTTTTACCATTGATGTCTTTATGACTCTTATATCTTTTCTTATCTCTCATTGATCAAAAAACATAGGTAAACTTATGACTTCTGATTTTTTGTTTTCATTTTAAGTCTCAACTCATATCTCTTCTTCATTTGAAATTTTTTAAAATTACTCAACAAAGGATTTTGAATACATGAATTCTAAATGTGAGATTTAAAAGGCAAGATTTTAAATTCAAAATTCAAATCCAAATCCACCAATCTAAACGTTACCTAAAGATAATGAACAGGTTAAACAATGTGACACGGATTTTGGGTCATGCAAAAGGCATCACTGCAATTGAACACCAAAGCATGCACCAAAATGGATGACATGCGATATCTTATCAGAAAGCAATAGTACCGTTGAAGTGGTTTAGATTATTGCAATGTACACAAACCATTTTAAATTCAACTAAACCACTTGTTTCCCATAACATAATTCTCCATTCTCGAGTCATACAGTATCATTATATGACATGCAAATATATGGAAGTTCAGAAATGTTTCTTTTAACAAATATAAAATCAAGAAAAACATCCTTACCCATAGGTGACATATGGTTCGACCCTCTGCAGCTTTGCCATAATTCCCACACTTGCCTTCACAAAAACAGCATTGAATACTCTTTTCAAATTCAATTTGTCTAAGACCTTGCGGGTTTTTGGATGCATGTCATTTTTTCTAGAAAGAATAAAAACAGAGAATTGTCACAATTTTTCAAATGATAACTTCAGAAGTGTTATTTTGTTGTCAACATCATTGATAGACCATAGAGGTTACAAGTAAAGTCAGGAGCAGAGACAGATGACACAGAGAAGATCATGTTCTCAATGCATAAAAAGCATACCCTTGAATCCGAATGATTAATAATAACTTTGAATTTGAATTTGGCATCAACAACTCTGGTTGTTTCTTGATTCTCTTGACTCGTCGTTTCATTCTAACAAGGTCAAGCTCCTAAATAAACAAACATAGAAGATCGAAATAAAAAAACTAACTCATAAAAGTCAATTGGTAAATTAACATGCAACATTACATCTATTAATTGGGAAGTGTTCTTCAAATGACCCAAGACAATTAATACACAAATAACAATAAAAATCACAGACAACATCACTGGAAGGAAACTAAAGCCATTCTTCATATAGGAAGTCTTCAAAACATAGACATCAATATATTGTGGCTAGCTTTTGACTATGCTCAGCATATATTAGTTCAATGATTCCAGTTCATTTCAATTCAATATGGAATGCTTAGATGAAGCTCAGCCATTGAACCAGAACTGGAAAATTTCCAGAACATTAATACATGAAGAATGCTTCTTATTCTTATAGAAAGCAGGGACATTTGTAAGATATTGAACTCCCACACCACACTGCAGTTGAACAAGGATTCCTTTGAATACAGATAAAACCAATGGGTAACAAGTAACAACAAGCACAAAATCATTTCACATCAGTAATAACGCAGAAAAAGACACATGTATAGATACGCACGTGCGCGTGCACGTGCGCACACACACATGTACAGAGAGAGAGAGAGAGAGAGAGACCTTGTTTCGATACTCAATGATGAAATCCTCAGGTTTTTTGACATAATCCTTGGAATTCTTTGTTTGGAACTTCTTCTGCTGAAGTTGATCCCTTTTCCTCAAGGCCAACGCTTCGCTGCTTTTTCGTTTCTTCAAGATAGTCTCGGGAATATAGTTCAAGGGCTTGGGCTCCTCTTCTGCCATGGTTTCTGCAATAAAGAGAAAATATCATGAATAAGCCACTTCTTTTTGTTTGATACATTGCTTTGTACTTTTTATCATCTTTCCAAAAGATAACATGAAAGACAAAAATTATACAGAGTATTTGTTTTAAGAGATTATTAAAATACTAACTTGTTCATTTTTCTATCATTTTGAAACAAGGTAAAATTAAAAAGAGGTCATTGAGAACCCCTTTTATTTGTGAAATTCCTAACACAACTTGAGCAGTGTTGCACAAAACCTGATGACAAAAACAGGTTCACAAGGTAACTCTAAAAGCTAAATTCAAAATATAAAACAGGAAAGATACATACATGCTTGCAATATTTTATAATTGGATTGTGACCGTGTTATCATATAGCATGTTATTCCAAACATATTACACACATGGTAAATGGATGATACAGCATAAACCATGAAAAGTTCATCCAAAGCATGCCTGTGATTCCAAATAGTAAAGAGCAAACAGCCCATATTGCCCAAAAGCAGAAAAGAGGAAGTAGCTCAGTATAACATGAGGTCATAAAAATCCAGAAAGACTGAAAGAACACGTTCATTTTTCATCACTATTCTGGCTGTACATAGGCAGGGTCGGGCCGGCCAGCCAGGTAGAGTAGCTACCCATTTCCCAACCCTAAACCCACTTCTATCATAAAATTCAGCCCAATGCCCAACCATGGCCAAAAAATTCCCGTGGCTGGACAGGGCGGGGATACCCAGGTTGAAGTGCCTAATTAAGCCTGAAAAGATTTTTCCTGAAATTATCAAGGACAGTGGAATCTAAAAAAAGTAACAAGAAAATAAACCTGGAAATCCGCTTGTCTAGCATTAAAAAATGCAAATAACACAAAACATGACAATTTCACAAACATAATGCGCGGAACCAGTAGGAGTTGGCGTTACTGCAGAATTACTATGATCATCCATTTCAAACTCCTAAACAATAAATATAACAAACACAACAATTGCAAGATTGTAAATAATACAAAAACAATAAAAAGATATTCTATTAATGACAGATTCTCATCAGAGAGATCCTACTGCACAATGCATAACTGCATATAGTCGAGAGGTAGTGTTAACAAAAAATACAATGTGGAGCCAAAATTATCATATTCAGTAAGCTTGCTTTTTCATTACTTAAAAGAATTTCTTTCTCCACTATGAATAAAGCTACAATCACATACAAGGATTCAACGGGTCAGGAGAAGGCATTCACAATAAAAAATAAAAATAAAAATAAAAAAATAAGAATGAACGGCAGCAATAAACGTAAGAGAACGAACAGAAGCAAGCACGAAAAGCAATCACAAAGTCGAACAGCAGACAGGAATTCAAACAATGAACGACGAACACAAGCGAACAACCACTCAAATAGTCAGACGAACTCAACGAAGACGGTGCGAACGCGAATCAAAGCCGAAGGGGAAGGTGAGGAAGTGAAGGTCTAATTCAGTTCAATGAACATGCGGCTAGGTTAGGGAATTTTGATGACTGAATTGAGGTTAAGGTCGGGTTGTTCGGCCACTTGGGCCACGCGTTCAAGCAGAGATGAAACAGATTTGGAAATTTTAACCAAAAAAAATACGAGGTAAGGGAAGACAACGGAACCTGGGATGAATACAGTGAAGCCGGTGGCAGCGATTGGAAATGCACTGGACGACGGTGGCGACGACCAAGCACAGAGGCAACGACCCCGACGAAGCAGAGAGGCGAGAGGCGAGAGGAAGCAGAGAGCATATAGGGTTTTAGTCATGGGTAGTTTTGGGATATTAAAAAGTTGTGAGGTTATTTCAGTCGGCGTATGACCAAATCATAATCATAACTTCTTCTTCTTCTTTTTTTTTTGGTTAAAATTATATTTTAAATTTTAAATTTTAAAAATATCACAGTTCAAGATAAGCCAAGTTAATCCTAAATTCTTAATCCTCCCTCCGTTTTTTATTATATCACTTTTTATTATTTTTTATATAAATAAAATCATCCTTTTAAATAAATATTCATTATATATTTTTTAAATTACTCTTTATAATTTATATTGATAAAAAATAATTAATACATGCATGTTAATTAATATAGAGCATTTTATTTTAATTTTTTTTGTTTTCAAACGTATTATATTTAACTAACTTTTTAAATTATATGATATAAGTTTTTTTTTTTAAATATAAATAGAGGAAGTGCTTTATAAAACAAATTTAGAGACAATCACACTAAGGGCCCTCAAAATATAGATAATTACACTTTGTGCCTAGTTGTCTGGACATATTTTATATTTAATAAAAATAATAATAAATTTAATCAAAAAATATAAAAATAAAATTTAATCATTTTTAAGATTATGTTTTTAAAATAAAAAAATCTTTAATTAATAGGTTTAATTTTAACATAGATAATCTTTTATTGATTAGGATCTTATTTTTTTTATTTTATTAAAAAAATAACCAAAAATTATAAAAATATAAAAATGAAATTTAATCCTTTTTAGGATTATATTTTTAAAAAATAATGATCTAACAAAATTAAAAAAATAATCTTGTTTAAATTTTTAAAAATCTCTTCCAAATTATTTTAACCATTCAAAATATTGGAAATTAACTTTTGAGAGTTAATTTTTTTTTTCTTTCCTTAAATCTTGTTGTTTTTCCAAAAAAAGAGAGAGAAATATTCTTGTTTAACTCAAAATTAATTTTTTTTTCTGTTCTTCCTCTCAATCTAATTCTTAAAGTTAATAAACATAAAAAAAAAAAAGGAGCAGGATGTGCATTGTGCATGAGATTGAGGGAAAAAACATAGAAGAGTAGACGCATGGACGAAGAGAAGAAAAGCGAGAGCAAATTCGCGTGCACAGAAAGCAGTTGCAAAAGAACAAAAACAAAACACACAAACACAACAACGTATAGAGAGAGCAGACTCAACCACACGTAAAGCATAGAACGGAAGAAAAGCAGATGAAAACACAGAGGAAGGCAATAAAAAAGCTTCACTTTGCAAAGGAAACACATGCATGTTGCAGAAGGAAAGAAAAACAGAGCAGAAATGCAACACATACATAGTACTCACATACACTTACATGGTGCTTTCCTTAGCATAAAGGTTTAAAGCACAAGTAAGCATAAGTTACGACACTTGCTTATTTAACCCTTGTTTATAGATAACAAGTAAAAATGATATTCGAAAATCCTCCCAATTCGGTCACAAACCCTACATCTCTGAGTGAGATTCAAAATTCTTTCAATCGGTCCCCTACACTAACACAAAGTTGTAAATAAATAAATTGATCATTTTTTTAAAATATAATACCATACTTTCAAAATAAATAAATCTTTCCATCCTGACCCTCTACTTGATTCCACAATAATCATCCATTAAAGTAAGGTCATATATGGCAAACAAATGCATTTGCATCTATGCATTTTCATATCACATGTCATGATAAAAAGACTTTAAAATTTTGAAATATTGAATTTTTTTGGGTCCTTTACATGGGAAGGTCAAGGTCTCCCACCTTACTTGCCGCAATACCAGTCATTCTATCACTCCTTGCCTATTGTTATTATCTCATCCATTCAAAACACATCAACATTTCAAAATATACTTTCATACCCTTGCCTTGACCATTAAAAATGATATGGTAGATGTGGATGTTAGCATTCAGTTGAGCCACATAGTTTTTTTGATCAAGTTGTGAGGTTAAAAAAATAATAATAAAGAGGGGGGATAAAGGAATTAAACTCAAATGTCACATTCATCAATAAGATCATCTACCATTAAAGAGAGAATTCAGAGATGTTATTTCTAACGTGTCTTATTTTGGTTACATAATGATTGTATGGTCAAACACTATCACTGAAAATGATCTTGTTTAACTTTATCAATGTTGTAATCATACTTTTTCATTTGACACTCTCGTTTGCTTATTTTACCCCTTGACCATAAAACTTCCCTTATCCTATGTATTACTCCCTTAATGTTTGGTATTCTCAATGAAAAAATTCACAATGGATATGAAAAAGATCAATTTGAGAAAAAAAGCCCCTATTTCATGAAAATATAAAAACAACAAAAAAAGGGGAAAAGAAGAATGAGTGCAAAGAGAAAAAGAAAAGGAAAAAGAGAATGATTAGAGAGATAAGATAACATATGCCATTAGTAAATTAAATTAAGGATATGAGGCATTTTTTTTTTTTCTTTCCTAAATCTTGAAGGAGTTCACCCAGTCATCCATATTGAGCTAGGAGTAGTATTTCTTTCATTCACCTATTTACAAATATTACCGAGGTAGAGTACTCGAACATATGTTTATACTGAATTTTCAAATTTCAAGAAAGGATCAATACTTTCTTTCACCCAATTGAAGTCTTTTTTTTTTAACCCTCCAGATTTATCCATTCAAATAATTTCTTCCCATTTTCAAGCTCATGAAAGCAAAGCTCAAGAGCTAACAATAAATACCAAAAAAAGAAAAAAAAAGCACTCCTACTGATGAAAAATAAAAAAAGAGGATTATTCCTCCACTAGTATTCACTCATTAAATGGGACATGAAGAAGAAAATTGAGAAGGGAAGGAAGGAAAACAAAAGAAGAAGAAAAAGAAATAGAGAATGAGTTTTTTTTTTCCTTTCTCAATAATAACTCTATAGAAGTGGCAAGTCTTGCAAGATCACATGTCAAAAAAAAAAATCCATTGTGATTTCACATGCATGTTTAGACCATTACACCCTTTCCATTCTCAACCCGCAATTTTATCTTATTCTACTACATCACAATCCCTAAATATCCTCTTTTGTTAAGTTAATTCTAGTATAATTTTATGTTAGAGTAGGAGAAGCAAAAGTTTGAAGGAAGAATTTACATATAGGCATGAGACTTTTGAGCCAAATATCCTTTTATTTTATGAGCCCATTTACCCAGGCCACATTACAAACCTCATAAGTCATCATTGAGATTTGACTTATTTGAATATAATTGGAGCAATTTTCTTATTGGAGATAATTTCAAGGTTCAGATTGTTGAAATTAAGGCAAGCTTATAACTCAACATAAGATCTTTTACTTACAAAAATTGTGTCATTTTCAAAGGGACATACAAAACAAAGAGGGGACCCTCCTTTCAATTTTTATATTCATTTCCTTTCATCTCTATACTATCCAAAGACACATCAAACAAAATTTGGGTATTTTTCAATTTTACAATTCCATCATTTTTCACTTCACACTTTGTCTTATTCACATGATGCCTATTCTTCATACATTTCTTGTACCCAAATGGGGATGTCTCTATAACTCGTCTTCTTGCTCACACTGCCAGTAGGACCCATGAATGAAGAAAAACGACCCTGACCATCTCTCTTCTTATCATCTACTGATTTGCTTCTTCTAACAATGGCCCGAAACTTATTACACATCACTTCAAAGGAAGTGATCTCAAAGGCTGCCAATTGCCTACTATACTTAGGTTGCATCTTGTTTAAGAACTGCTCGACCTTCCACTCCTCATCATCATGGTGTCTCAAATAGGTTGAATACTTTGAAAATTCCTTGAACTTGGCAATGAACTGAATTGAGACTGTATATGTATGTGTATACGAGTTGCCATAGTTGCATGCATGTATTGAATTGAGTTTTGTGAAGTCTAGCCCGATTGATTGTATATGTGTTGAAATGAAACAAAAAGAGGCTATGACTTAGAGTATATATGTGAAATGGTTGTTTGTGTTAATAAATCTTAAGCCAGGGGATAAATTATGAGAAATGAGTAATTTGTGAGCTAAAATTGTATTATGAATATGATTGCATATGTTTGAGTTGAGAAATAGCCAAGTGGGCTATGTTATGCCAAGAAATGGCAAAGTATGTTAAGTTAGTGAATTGTGAAAATTGGCCATAAAAGGGTCAAATTTCAATACATGAGTATGATTGTAATTAATTATGGTCAATCAGGTGTATTAGATCCTTTTGGACTTGGTTCAAGGCCTAATATGGTCTAATGAGAGAAAGGGATCGAATAGAGCGCTTGGGTGCGCAAAATTTTCAAAAAAAGTGACTTTTTGCACCCGGGTGTCTAAATTTTGATTGGACTGTTGGATCGTGTCCAAACTTATCTCATTAGCTAATATACGAGCTAAGCTTCATGTGGGCGCTTGAATCAATCCAATTAGATGTCATATGAGAAATTGGCGCACGCTAGAAGTTCATCATTTTTGCTGTCAACATGACAACAGAAATTTAGACAGGCGTGCTGCGGCACATGATGACATATGCCGTGGTGCACTGACCGTTTGTTGTGGCTCACAAACCAAAATTTAGTTTTAGTTGTGTGTCGAATTGCATGCAATTGGAATAGAAATGTTGGTGGGTTATGTCCACTATGTAATTGAGGTGCATATGGTTTACTTTGGCTATTTTTTTTCTTTGATTGTGTTGTGAACTGATCAATTTTGTAAAATAAGTCTTCAACCGAAACTTTTGAAATGAAATTTGATTATTGTGAATGATGTGAGAGCATGGTAACACCATAATCTTCTTCTATATTGAATGGATATAGGAGGAGGTTACAAACGGCAGGCACCCTCAAAGCCCAGTAACGGCCAGCACGGTTCTTTTAAACCCTGTAATAGCAGGCACCCTCAAAGCCCAGTAATGGCTTGCACGATTCTTTAAAGCCCTGTAATAGTAGGCGCCCTCAAAGCCTAGTAATGGCTAGCATGATTCTTTAAAGACTTGTAACGACAGGCACTCTCAAAGCCCAATAACAATTGGCATGATTCTTTAAAGCCTTGTAGCGG